GGGGCACTACAGGACAGTTCTCAGGCTGAGTCTTTCAACTTGGGATCACTGAAAGAACAAGGGTGGCCCCATCTCGTCGAGGGATGTTAGAACCTTGAAATATTATGCCCAAGTGTACCAAGTACAATGCAGAAATTGAGTGTAATAGTAAATGATATGTGATTCAGAAAAAGAAAAGAACTGGAAGACATCAATATAGCACAAGGGAAAAATGAAGCAAAATATGCATTTATAAACTCACCGGCATTTAAAATGCCCATGTTCATTCAATCAAAACCCTGAAGACCCTGAAAGTCAGTAGGTCCATTTCACATATAATAGGCAAAACAGAATAGAGACTTATTTCTTAAACATATGATGACTTTAAGCTGTTCTCCCACCTGTGTATCTGAGGGTGAGCCTGGGTGACCTCAGGAGAGGAATCTTGATTTGGTCTTTCCTGGGAAGGGATTACATTTAGGTAAATGACATGCTGGCTTGATTGCTCTGATGCAGCTGTTTTAACAGAGCTGTTCTGAAGCCATTCTGACCTGGCATCCTTGATGCAGTTGGGACATTCTAAGGCAGCCTGAAAAAAATCCCTCCCAGACCTTTTTATAATTACCAAGCAGTATGTGAAACAAATATCCTTACTCCGTGCCTGCCTTGCATTACAGACTCCCACTTTCGGGGTTTCAAGAATGGGTGAAGGATGAGACAAGGCTTAGCGGTGAACTCTCACATGGGAGTCAGGCATATTTATTGTGTACATTACTTGCTAATTAAGAAAAATAATGATTTTTTTGCTTTTTTGACAAATTTCTGTAAAAAGAGCCTCTGCACCAGAACAACTCTGTTCTTTTCACTATAATAAAAATCCTCATCTTCAAGGAAACATATGGCCTTCTGCAAGAAAGGGGAGCTCTGTTTTTCTCTATTTTTCTTTTCTTTCTTTTTTTTTTGCCATGAGCAATGCACAAAGATTTTAGAGGGTCCTGACAGTTACTTGAGAGTTTTCACTCCCCCCTGTGGCATGCTCCTTTGGAACAAAGAAGGAGTTATGGCTGTGGACTGGAGGGTTGTAATCTGAGGAAGCAGACAGATTTGCTCTGCTATAAGAGGGGCATACCAAATTGAGAAGAAATGTTCTTTTTTGACCATGCAATGCACTCGACCCTGGATTGCTGAGAGGACGGAGCAGACCGCTTCCACGGGAAAAAAATTGTCTTCAAATTACAACCTTTTAAATCTCAATGTGCAGTCACAAACATGACTAAAGTCACAGAATAATATACAGATATTTCAGAACCAATTCAAAGAGAGAGATCGGAAAACAAGCATTCATTCTGACATTGAGTGTTAATAAAAAGAACAAATTTTGAGGTTCATGTATATAAGATCATATTGTATATTGATTTTTTTTCCATTTTAGTACTATCAAACATATGGGAATTTTGCATATTGAAGTTAGTCACAAAATATCTGTGTAATTATGTCAGTTTCACATGGAAGCTAAAACATAATTACATAAAAAGTCTTCATATTTCCAATGTGTTATTAAAGTCTTCAATTTTCATCCATAGGTTTGGACACATTCACATGTTAGTTTTCAACAATCAAATTTTCAGTTGGTAGAGATTTAAAGAACAGGGCCAGCAGCATCCTGCCCCACAGGTCAATATGTATTTCTCTTGAATACCAAGTCTACCCACATCTTCTCTGCTACCTCCCTAGTTTAAGCTCTCAGTGTCTTTTTCTTTTTTTTCAGCTGAGCCATCCTGCCACCTGTTGGCAGCTCAGTGGCAGCTCAGCTCGGGCTGGGAATTGAACCGCTGTTGCTCAGAGCTCAAACTCTTGAGCGAGCTCTTAACCAACTGAGCCACTCGGACGGCCCTCAGTATCTTTTATAGGAGCATTCCTAGGCCTTGCTCTGGTCCCCGGCTCCCAGTCACTCCTCAGTGCAGTCAGCACAGATGATCAGGCTGAGACCTTTCTGTAACAGAGATCCAATCCCTCCTCTGTCTTGTGTAAAATAAATACAAACCAAGAACCACAAGAGTCCACTGGGGGAGAGGAGAAATGCAACAAGAGAAAAATGAAGCTAAGGAGACATTCCCAAACTTGTAGACATTTGAGAAATGATATGCATTTGGTCAAAATCAGAAAGATGCATCTCTGAAAATGTAAAATGCATTTTAAAGAAACAAAGCAATCTTCTTAGATTTATAAAGATCTTAAACACATTTCTCTGGATTTATAGAATCAGCATGAGAACTAATCGAAAGGAATATACCTAAGCTTCATGAGAAAACTTGCTTGTCTAAGGGTTTAGCACTGAGTCTCTTAGTAGGGCTCTTAAGCCACTTCATGGTTTGGCCCCTTCCTTTTTCTCTGTAGCCTAACAATTTTAACTTCATCAGTATTAAACTAATTGCTATTTCTTAAACCTACCCTGCTATTTTATACTTCTTTGATTTTTCACATGCCTTTTTCTTTGTCAAGAATTTCTATCTTTGCCTGACAAACTGATTCTTCAAAACCCAGCTCAAGCATCACCTCCTTTCTGAGGACCATTTCCTTATCTCTTCAGATTTCTTCCTCTATGTTATAATTAACCTTCTATACATCCTGTAGTGTACTTAAAATATTGTATTATACTTATTGTATTCATGGCTGGCGTCCCCTCTTAGATGATAAATCCTGGAGGACAGAATCCATGTCTTTTTTTAACTTGGTATTTCCTTATAGAGTTTCCAGCAAAAAATAGGTTCCCAATATATGTCCAGCTAAACATAAATTTATGAGGGAATGATTGTTATCCATGTCTTCCTTCCAGCTGTGTCTGTCCCATGACAAGAGTTTTTTTCTGGCTGATTATCATCTGTCTTTTCATTTTTGAGCTCAACATCTAGTGCCAAGAGAAGATCAAGGAAAAGTGGTCTGCATCTTGACTCCAGATTTTAAAAGGCTCTCCTCACTGTAAGGAAAGAGCAGAAGAGGAACCATTGCCACTGAGGACTAAAATCAAAACCCTTCCTTTCACAAATGTAGCTGAGTTTGTTTACATGTTCTGGAGTATAAATGTTTGAAAATATGCAATGGCAGTGAAATAAGGTGTCAAATTCTATAGGCAAAACGCCATAGAAGCAATAGTCCAAAATGGCCTGTTAATTTCTTTCTTAACCCACCAACTGCACAGCTTGAGAATATATTTGAAAAATCTGATCTTGTTTTAAACCATTAAAATATTTTCCAGTGTCTCAATAGCAGCCAGTTCTCCTTATGTTATTCATGACTGCAGTTTGTCGGTATGACCAGTTTTTTCCACTACTTAACTGAGTGTAGTATCATTTCCATTTTACTGCTACTTGATAGTATTGAGAAATGCAAGCTATAAACTACACTCATCGAGAAATATTAATGGGGGGGAGTGGCCATCTCTTTTTACAATGCTTAAGAGCTTAAGCTGTAATAATAAAAAGTTGGCTTTTATCCCCTGAAATAATCAAAAGAAGAGCTGAAGGAAATTAAAGTAAAATCCAGCAGGATTACAAAATTAGGGAAGAATTAAGGAAAAATATTTTGGTTACCAGAAGAAATCTAAAATAAATACAAAATAATAATACATTTGTGATTCTGCTATTTGACCCGTTTGCTACTCAGTTATGTAACTGGCGACTCCCTGAAGAATCTAGCAGGGCGCTCACTGTAAGAAGGTAGGAAAAACATTTTCCCCTGGATATGCATATGAATTCCACCAGCTGACTAGGTTAGATAAAGAGGAAAATGGATTCCTGAGGGTTTAGACAGAAAGTGCTGGGGAAAAAAAATCTTGTCAGTTGTCAGAATGGTGAGACTAAGGGCATGCAGGAGCCTAGTTCTTGACAAGACTGGACTATGCTTGAACTGGAAGTGGACAATATCATGTCCTATTGATAACCATAGGACAAGGACCAGTAAACTGCTGTAGTATTTAAAACAATGGAGAGCTACCCCATGTGTTTGAGAATTTCAGATTTGAAAGGAGTAAGGTAATGTCTCTATCCTGGGGTATGACCCACAATTCCCAGAAGAGATGTTACAAAATTCAACAAGGCTGGTCAGTTGCCCGAAGGGGCAGAAGTCCAATATTTCTAGTTAACAGTGGAAAAGAAAGTTCAGGTAAACTTGCCTTGTTAATGTGTTTGTAGAAGTCAAGACTCTAGTAAATACATAAGAATCAACATGTTTTTAGAATTTGCCTTTGACCCACATAGTCTTATAATACAAATCTTCAAAATACACAGAGTGAGTTATAAACAATTCTCACCTCTCCCCAGTCTCTATGCTTGAACTGTAATTATTGTACATATCCAAAAAGTCATACTTTAAAAAGAGCTTTCTACTTGTATTAAGTATTTATTTAATTTTGTTTCTCCACTCAAAAATGAAATCTTCTTTTTCTATTGAATCCATCTATTGCAGATTTTCTGAATATTTATGTGGTCACAGATTCTCTTGAGACCCATGTAAACTCTCCCCAAGCAAATTTGCTGTACACACACACACACACACACACACACACACACACACACACACACACACCCTCCATGCTGTAGATCATTTCCTGCGCTTCATGGATCACATAATTTTATCTGTGGTTACCAGTTTAGGAATGCCTGCTTTGTTGATTTGGTATTGTTTCTGGCCTTTGATAAAATTATTACGAAGGGCAAGTTTGCCTCTGGTTTGTTTTGTTCCTTTGCTGCCAACACTTGTGGAGCGTCGGTGCTGTGCCAGGTTTTGTGGTATACGACAAGGAAGCACGCTTGCTGTACTTCTTCTCTTCCTGTCTCTTTAGAATGTCTAGAACTAATCTATATTTCTTTTTATCTCTATCGAAATGATCTCTATTGGTAAATCATTAAGCATTCCATATAAATTACCATAATATTTTAACCAACAAACAAATTTGCTTCTGAGCAAATTTGTTACTATATGAGTTTTAAAGGACATTGAAGACCATGGCATGGCATCATTACCTGGCAAAAACAATTCTCTTTGGAGTTTTTCTCTGGCCTGCTGTGAAAAGCATCTTTTCTTCAGCCAGTCAGCTTCAAAATCACTGCAGTGCTCATTTGGCCACGTGATATGAACCTTATAACACAGAAAGCACATATCACCTATATGTATATTATGCTTCTATATATTTCACTTCTCCACTATTGCCCTGTTTCTGAATGTTATTTAAAATAATTAAGGAATCCATTTTATTTTTATTTTTTTACCTATATACTCACAGGCATAGAATAAGCTTTTGGAAAACAAGGAAGCTGAGAGCCACTGGGATACATCTGAGGTCTGAGGACCCTTAAATATCACACAAAAAATAAAACCTGGCTAGATCTGATGTTCTTGTTCTATACTCTCTAAACCTCTGATTTCCAAACCTTTCATGATTGATTCGAAGTTAGGCATCACTTAATATTCCTGCCAAGAGTATCAGAAATAGTAATGATGGTGATTAGGCAGATAATAATAATAATAATAATAATAATAATAATAATAATAATATAAAATAACACCATTTTGAGTGCATACTGTATAGTGAGCACTACAAACGTAACTCATTTGTCCTCATGCCATTCTAAGGGAGAAGGTATTACTATTATTCACATTTTTCAGGTGAGGAATGTAAGGGCAAATACTATTTGTGTGGTCACACAACTAGCAAGCAGTGAGCCCTGGGAGTAAAGTCCTGGAGTGGAGAGAAAACAAGCATGGGGAGACGGGTGACCTTGCTGGTCACGTATGCTCTTCTGGTAACTATCCTAGTAAATCTGGAACAGAGTAACATAGGGTGGTGGCCACATCTAGTTTGTGGTTTTGAGAGCTATGTTTTTGGGAATTCTAGAACAAGCCTTGCACATCTATTCACTGATTTGACTAAAATATGTATGTAAATCAGTATAAGTTTTGAGTGCTTACTACATGCCTGGCACGCCATTATACATTTTTACCCATGTTATCTCATTGAATCCTCATAGCCTCTCTCCGAATCAATTCCCTGTTTTACAGATGAGTAAACTGAGTCCCAGAAACATTCTTTTTATTATAGAAATAGTTTGTGTCTTCAAGGCTGTCACTCACAGAAGGAATAATGAGCAACACTGTAAATTTCATTAAAAATAGTAGTCATAAAAATAATAAGAATAATAACAGACTCTTTCATTTACTGAGCATGCTTCCTTTGCACCAAGCACTATGCAAACTTGATAATATATACGATCAATGAACACAAAATTCATTATTTTAATTATTAGAGACTAGCCCCTTTATCTTGGGAGAGAAGGGGGAAATGATTTTGAGATAATTACCCTTTTTCTGTCAAACGTCAAGCCTTTAATACTAATGTTCACATCCAGAGCTTCCACGAGAAGTTTCCGCGCTTTTGCAGAATGCATGTAGCAGTCGGGGCACTGGCAGTTGTCCCTCAGCCACACGGCAGGGTAGAATGACTGTGCATCGTCCTGCCAGAGGATCTGCATCAGATGAGCCCCATCCAGCACTTCTGCATTCTGGATGGCACAGTGCATGTTTCTGGTCCTTGCAGGTAAATCTTGTCAGCTACCTGCTATGACAGATCTGTGTTAAAAGGAATCTCAGGCAGATCAGGTCTGAACTTGACCTCTAAGCGTGTGAACAATTCAAGTGGACTCTGGCTTCGGCTAGTCCCTCATCTGGCAGAGTTTGTGGTTTGACTTAATCTATGCTAGGACCTTTGTTCTGGTGAGAGTGTTTCATATGCTGTAAACAGAAACACAGTGACTAAAAGTCAATAAGATAAAAGTGCTGAGTCAGGATCCAGATGAAAAGAATTCCTTGTTTTCCTCACAGACGTTTTAGGTAATAAGTTCTGAATCAATGACATACTCGTATACACTTTTGTAATCATGTTTGAATAAAAGCTCTGGAATTTCTTAAGGGAGACAAATGCCCCACAAATTGAAAGAATAATCATGCCACTGCTGTTTTAACTGATGCCTAGTTGCACATGCCTTTTGAAAAAAGTGTTTTTATGACACTAACTTAGTATACTTGTTCTAATAGGGGGAGTACTAATGTAATTTATTCATTTTAAAAGGTACTGTAATTCAGTATATTGCACTGTTTCTATTCTATCATTTATTTATTTTTTCTTACTTAAACAGTGTATTTTCTCAATACAACATGAGTTTGTAGGCTCTACAAGGAACTTGTT